GGAAGTAGCACATGCTACCTGTCTCAACTTCTTGTACTCACCACTGTGGAAGTTCACCCCACCAACACAACGTCTGACACCTCTCTTTCATGCGTTTGCAACTGTGGTCTCTTGCTCTGCTGGTCGCTAGCACCAACAGCCTAGTTGACCAGGCAGTCCTGAGGAAGGCTGGTCCCAGGCCCGGCTGCGAGGGGGTAGAAAACTCACAGAACTGCTCTCAGGTATATTACAGGTATGAAATGGTCTTTGTTTCTTTTTTTGGTGATCTTTTATGACCTTAAACATTGTTGTTGTATCTTCTGGTCTCGGACCTTCAAGACACTTTTAGCGTTTAAAGTCCATCTTTATGCTTCATATTTCTTAGCTCTGAGAGTTATTTTGTAATTCTCCTTCTCTCTCTCTCTCTCTCTCTCTCTCTCTCTCTCTCTCTCTCCCACTCCTTATTTCCCACTGTATTTCGAGACGGTTTTTTTTCTCCTTTCTATTTTGTCTGTTATTAACACTTACGAGGTTTACGTTCAAATGGTTCACATATATTATAACCTGTTTGTTGGTCAGTTGATATTTGTTCCTTATACAGGACACCATAAATGCCAACTTGGCAGCACTGAACGCTTCTCAGAATTTGCAGACAACGTTTGAGACTTGACCTATATTTTCCAATCCACCCAATACATTTCTAGTCTTTGGGAAGATTTTTTTCTAGTTTAACACCTCAGTATCGATCTCAGAATAGCAAGGAACTCGTATTTGGCTTCGAGTGGGTTCAACCTGCATTTAACATATAAAATATTGTAGCATCGTCTTGTTAGTGGTGGTGCTGCAGTAGTTGTGGTGGTACTACAGAAGTTGCAGTGGTGCTGCACTACTTTTGTTGGTACTACAGCAGTTGTGGTGGTGCTGCAGCAGTTGTGGTGGTACTACAGAAGTTGCAGTGGTGCTGCACTACTTTTGTTGGTACTACAGCAGTTGTGGTGGTGCTGCAGCAGTTGTGGTGGTGTCACAACAGTTGCAGTGGTGCTGCACTACTTTTGTTGGTACTACAGCAGTTGTGGTGGTGCTGCAGCAACACTAGTGTTGCTGCAGCAACAGTAGTGGTGGTGCAGCAACAGTAGTGGTGGTGCAGCAACAGTAGCGGTGGTGCAGCAACAGTAGTGGTGCTGCAGCAACAGTAGTGGTGCTGCAGCAACACTAGTGGTGCTGCAGCAACAGTAGTGGTGCTGCAGCAACAGTAGTGGTGGTGCAGCAACAGTAGTGGTGCTGCAGCAACAGTAGTGGTGGTGCTGCAACAGCTACCGTGAGCCTGCCAAAGAAAGAGTGAAAAATCTTTTGATGAAAGTGGCGCAGTTTCCAGGTACTGCTGCTGTCATCCTCCCTCCTTCCCTCCCTCTTTGGCTTCCTTCTTTGCTCCCTCCCTCTCTCCTTTCCACACACTTTTAAGCTGTTCCCTCCCTCTCTCTCTCTCTCTCCCTCCCTCCCTATCTCCCTCCTCTCCCTACTTGATTCCTGCTGGTGCTACTGCCGGTGCTGCTGCTGTTGCTGCTGCTGGTGCTGTTGCTGGTGCTGTTGCTGTTGCTGCTGTTGCTGCTGTTGCTGGTGCTGCTGCTGGTGCTGCTGCTGCTGCTGCTGCTGCTGCTGCTGCTGCTGCTGCTGCTGCTGTTGTTGGCGTGTTAATGTGGTGGAGTGCCGATGATATATTGATGTTGGAGTAACTGTGATGACCCAATGTTGTTGTGCTAATAACCTGATGACGTAGAAAGACGGCGATGACGTAGTAATATAACATTGATATTACAACATGCTGACGCAATACTATGTTTATATATTGATGTAATACTGACGTCACAGACAGCATCATAGTGAAAATTAATAGTTAAGTGTGGGTAGTAACTACTATATAATATTACAATAGTGAAACATGGATAGTAACTACCGTAGATTATTGTAACAGAGTAATGTGGGTAGTAACTACTGCAGTAGTACAGTAGTCAAAGGTGGGTAGTAACTATCGTAGACTAGTACTAACACCACCTTAACTTCCATCTTCACAGTATTGTACGAGATTTCTTAGTAAGTTATATGACCGATTTGTTGGTTGATTAGCTGACTGATTGTCCGTCTGGGTGATTTGTTGCTAATTAGTTATTTGAGTACTTATTTCATTTGCTGATTGAATGATTGGCTAATCAGTAGCTTGACTGATTCACCAATTAAATATATTAGTGTTCAGTTGACCTGCTGATTACTAAGTACTTCTCAGGTCACATGTCGTTGTTTTGCTTTAAAAATCTCAACAAACTCAACAAAAACTTGGTATATCTCAGTTGCTGCGCAATCTGTGAAAGGTATCCCCATGTCCAATATGCCCAGCCCCCTCTACCTCATTGATCCAAGACAGGTATCCCTATATGCAGTAAGCTTAGCCCTCTCAACCTCACTGCACGTTAACAAGGAATAACAAGAGTGCAGCAAATGCTTATAATCCAGTAAAACATCAGCACCGAAGATGGAAATTCAACCAGAAGAGACATAGAGAAATTATCACATGGGAACCTGTATCCCATTTTCGTCCAAAATATGGCGACCAAAGAGTTCAGAACCAGTTTACACCAGCTTTCGAAGTTTAAAGCCAATCGGAAGAGATATTCTCTGGTTATCGCGAAGAGCTTAATATCGTGAATCCACTCGGAAGTTGTACTCTCAAGTTTTCCAGGTGAAGGTTTGAAGCCAGTCGAATGTGGCATTAACAAATTTTTTTATTAGCACACTGGCCGATTCCCACCAAGGCAGTTTTTACCAATTTCTTCAATAAAATTGGCGGCTATATGATATAATCTTTCACTAAGTATAATACACCACCTACACCACCACCCACCTGCACCTTCCACCTGCACCACTACCCACCTATACTACCATCCATCTACACTACCACCCATCTACACTACTACCCACCTATACCTCAACCCACCTGCACCACCACCCACCTACACCCACTTGCACCTCCACCCAACTACACCACCCACCTCTACACCCCACACCTCCTGCACCACCCAACCTCACCTACCACCTCCTGCCACCACCACCTAACCTCCTGCACCACCTACCTGAACCACCACCCACCTACACCCACTTGCACCAACACCCACCTGCATCCACCTGCACCACCATCCACCTACACCCATCTGCACCACCACCCACCCACACCTTCCTGCACCACCACCCACCTGCACGACCTACCTGCACCACCACCCACCAACACCCACTGGCACTACCACTCACACCCACCTGCACCACCACCCACCTACACCCACCTGCACCACCCACCCACACCTTCCTGCACCACCACCCACCTGCACCACCACCTACCTACACTCACTTGCACCACCACTTACCTACACCCACCTGCACTACCACTTACCTACACCCACCTGCACCACCTACCTGCACCACCACCCACCTGCACCATCATCCACCTACACCCACTGCACCACCACTCACCTACACCCACCGGCACCACCACCCACCTATACCCACCTGCACCACCACCCACCTACACCCACCTGCACCACCACCCACCTACACCTACCTGCACCACCACCCACCTGCACCTACACCCACCTGCACCACCACCCACCCCACCTGCACCACCACCCACCTACACCACCTGCACCACCACCCACCTGCACCTACACCCACCTGCACCACCACCCCCTGCACCACCACCCACCTGCACCACCTGCACCACCACCCACCTCACCACACCCACCTGCACCTACACCACCTGCACCACCCCCTGCACCACCACCACACCCACCGCACCTACACCTACCTGCCACCACCAACCCACCTGCACCTACACCACCTGCACCACCACCCACCTGCACCACCACCTGCACCACACTGCCACCGCACACCACCCCAGCCCACCTGCACCCACCACCCCACCTGCACCACCACCCACCTACACTACCCACATAGATAATCCATTTTAAAACCATTTTATTACCATAAATTACCATAATTTTTATATAATTCTATAATTATTTATGATTTAATTTGGTGATTATTAAAATGATTATTGTATTTTATTATATTTATCATAATTATGGTAATTAATATTATATAACTATAATTGCAGAAGCACAGAACCTCAGTAATGATATGTATATGTATATCATATGTAAGTCTTATATGTAATTAGATCTGATTAATGAATGTAATTAATTAATTATTATAACTTTTAATTACCAATTTTAAACACTAATTACTTCGTCTCACGAAGAGGGGATAACTGTTGCTTAATTATACTTAAATGCACACTAATCATCACCACCATCACCACTATTAGTCATCACCACCATCACCCCCATAGTCACCACTGTTATTGTCGTCAGTCACTACTGTAATTTTCATCAGTCACCACCATTAACACCACCAGTCACCACTATTACCGCCACCAGTCACCACTATTACCGCCACCAGTCACCACTATTACTGTAATCAGGCACTACCATTAACACCACCAGTCACCTCTATTACTGTCATCAGTCACCACCATTAACGCCACCAGTCACCACTATTACTGTCATTAGTCACCAACATTAATACCATCAGTCACCACTGTTACTGTCATCAGTGTTAACTTTACCACTACACTACTACCAACAGTTTTCTTACCGCTGTTACTACTAGTACCACTACTAATATCACCACTTGTAATTTCACCATCACCACCATCAGTATCGTAGCCACTGCCAGTATTATCACCACAACCACAACAATGACCCTTACTGTCAGTTTGACCACTTCTAGCACACGGCATCACAGTACAACCCTACTTTCAGTATGGCCCCCTACAATCACCAATGCCATTATCAGCACCAACACAGTCACCACCACTAAAACCTCCAATAGTATCACCACCACTACAATCACCACTACCAGCATCACCATCAATACCTTACAACCCGCCACTAACCTCAACGCTTCTCTCTCCACAGACATTCTGTGTGGTGTCGAAACGTTTCCGGAAGAACTACGTCCACCGCTTCTCCGCTTCGAAGTCTCTCTTCCTCTTCTCGCCGTGGCACCCACTTCGACGTGCTGCCATCTTCCTCTCTACCAACCAATTCTTCGATTACCTGGTCATGGCTACGATCCTCCTAAACTGCGTCTTCCTTGCCATGACGGAAACCGTACCCGAAGCCGAGTGAGTACTTTCGGACAATTTGTTTAGGTTTCTGGCAAGATGTAGAAGTAGGGTAGATGGAACGATGTTTTTAATAGAATTACGTACATTAGCTATTTGATAATTATTTTGTGGGCACACTAGCAGTGGGCAACTACCCTAATCTAATTGACAGTTACATTGTAGGAGCACCTGCAGTGTGCAGACGCCCTATTTGATATAATATCTGCAATGTGGGAACGTTGGCGGTGCTCCACTACCCTATTCTACGTAACAGTTGCATTATAGGGGCAAAAGCTAGCTCTGTTTCCCTATCACATTCCATCACACAGCACGGGTTACATGCGGTCGTAGCATATGTCAGCCTGAGCTGTGAGACTTGAGGAGGGTGATGAGGATGTCGTCAGACATTGCACTAAGGAATCACTAGCTACGGCAGCTTTAAGATTGCCTTCCAGCAAGACTGGCAAGAGTTATTAGGAAGGAAGGATAGATGGAGAATACTAGAGATTAGTAATGCTGCTACTGCTGCTGCTACTACTACTACTACTACTACTACTACTACTACTACTACTACTACTACTACTACTACTCTTAGTAATACTCTTAGTACTACTACTACTACTAATAATAATAATAATAATAAAATGAAGTAAATATGATTATTCTCCTTAATAACATTACTGTATTTTTCCTTAATGACAGTAGTGGAATTTCTTCTTAGTGACATTATTATAGTTTCCCATTAAGGGTCACAAAGTCAAGATTAGTTTAGCTTAGGTCATTTAACAAGCATAGAATCAAGCTAAGAGTCGTACAATGTTTAACTCTTCTCAGTCTTAATCCTGTGTGTTGAAAGGCAAATTAGTTGCTTTCAGAAGAAGATATAAGAAGAGTAAGGGGAGAGGTTAGAAACGGAAGGGACAGGGGGAGGTGGTGGTCAGAGGGAAGAGGGGTAGCGATGGGAGGGGCAGGGGAAGGCTTTATAGGTTGGGAAGGGAACTGTTGTGGGAGGGTTGAAGGTAGAATAAATGAAAGTATTTTGGGCGAACATTTCTCCTGTTTACAACCAATAATTTCTGGTCGAGAGAAGCGCATTTGCATAGTTGTAAAAAGCGTTTACGGGGCAATGTTCAACGTAGACAAGCTGCACCGATTATTTGCACCCTATGTGATTTCTTGCAGACATAATCCCATAATACCTGTTTACAATGAAAATATTTTACGAATTTACAATGGTCTGTTGTACAGAGCTGGAGACCTCTTTGAAAATGCTTTGAATATCAGCGTAATGCTCCCGGCATACCATGTTTTCAGCATTTTCAGTAGTTTCACAGATTTACACAAGGCGTGCAGATTAATTTTCAGACATTACCAAGTTTTATTGAAAAGAAAACACTTGGAGAATTTTCGAGACATGAGAGAGAGGATTAGCATTTGTTTTTTGTTTGTATTAGTAAACGAAGCTTAGATAACTAAACTGAAGCTCCTGGGCCGGCCTCTTAAGACAGAGTGGCAGGCTGTAGTGGAGTTTGTATTCTTATAACCATGTACGGAGTCAACTTCTAAATATATGTGTGAAAATTTGTGTGTGCAATAATTTCGCAAAAAATCATACTAAACCTAACGAAAAAATATATTTCATTGTGTTTGTTTTTATTAAATTATTGTAAATTTGTCTAAAATATGTTTAGTTGGATTAAGGTAAATTAAACTGCGCTTGTAATAATAAGGTTAGGTAAGTTTTCTAAAGTTTTTTGGTACAAAATTATAAATTTTTACATTAACATAAATGAAAAAAAATATATCTTTAAACTTATAAAAGGAAATTTTAGAAAGGACTTAATTTTAAATGAGTTCTTGCTAATTGACCGATTTTACCTATTCGGCACGACACACACATACACAGACACATACACACACACACACACACACACACACACACACACACACACACACACACACACACACACACACACATTATATATATATATATATATATATATATATATATATATATATATATATATATAATATAATATAACAACAGAAGACTTATAAAGCAAGACTGTTGACCTCACATGTGACCTGGCTGAACCCGGGAGATACAGTTTCAAAGTTTTGAAGCTTTTAGTCAAGTCATATGATAGGTAAAATTTAGGTGGCATTGAGTGTGTGTGCGTGTGTGTGTGTGTTTACTCACCACATTCATTTCTTTTCTTTACTGAGAGGAATTGTATGTAAAAATCAAAAGTGATGTGTATGATTCAGCAGAAGAGTTCGGTTAGGTCACAGATGAAATAAAAAAAATAGAAATATCTTCGATTTCTGGGATCAAGAGCTGGTCCCAGCAGCATCGAGACAGACCCTTGAGAGGTCCACTGTAGACTCAGGCAGGAATCCAAGACAAGTGGAGATCGGGCATGAATCTCCTGATATTGGAAGCCTGGGCATACTTGGGGCATATTTCTGGCATTGCAGTAGTCGTGCTGAGAATACTGAGACGTCAGGTGCTGAGGAATGTCTCAGCGAGGAGAATGTGAGCTCGGGAGTGCCTCATTCCTCACCCTTCAGTAACTGCAGCCTTGGCACTGCTCTGGTTCGCTGACACTGCACCACCTGCTGCCTCTGTGACTGAACGCCTGCTAACTCTCTCTCTGTCTCTCTCTCTCTGTCTCTCTCTCCTCTCTCTCTCTCTCTCTCTCTCTCTCTCTCTCTCTCTCTCTCTCTCTCTCTCTCTCTCACACACACACACACACACACACACACACACACACACACACAATGTAAAAAAATCAGAGACAAGGAAAACATTTTAGGTGAGGTAAAAAAAATATCTTGTAATTTCTAAGCAGAAGGGATCCCACTGAGTACAAAGTCATTCTCCTATATTCTCACACAGATGAGAACCACCTAAGATACACTCCAAATTTGCCTTTTAAAGTCAAATGCGCTTCTGAGAGAGAGAGAGAGAGAGAGAGAGAGAGAGAGAGAGAGAGAGAGAGAGAGAGGGAGGGAGAGAGAGAGAGAGAGAGTGAAGCAAGTATGTAATAGATGAGAAGAATCACTTGTGGTCGGATCTTAGGTTTTTTTTTTTTTTGATCTCTGTAAATTATTCGATCTCTTGTTACGTAGTCTATGATGATTCTTGATCCTTTTACTATATTTTTTTCCCAGCAATAAGATGGTACTCTAGATCGTTGATGTTTTTAATGACTGTGTTAGAAACTTTATTCTAGTGTCCGGAAAGGTCTTCTGGGCTCCGCTTTCCTGAGCTGACCTTACCATGGTTGGGTGAAGTCACAACTCCGTGTGGAAGATCGGAGGATCGAGCCTCCGATCCTGGCACAGTTGCTCAAATTTATTGCTGTTATTTCCACTAAAAATCATGGAAAATGAAGTGAATGTTGATCATTAAGTTTTTGACGTTGATAAATATAGCATGGGATTTTTGATAGTCTGGTGTGAATACTGTCAGCTTTTGTCAGCCTTTGTTAGGCTTTGTCAGCATTTTTCAGGTTTTGTTAGGCATTGTTTTAAAATCATGTTTAAAATTAGCCTTTACTTGTGTTGTTGGAGATTTATGGATGAATTTTGCGTTGGAGACTTGGTGTTGGAGACTTGGTGTTGGAGACTTGGTGTTGGAGACTTGGTGTTGGGAGGAAGAACTTGGTAGTTATGTCTCCAGTGTAGTGAGTACGACAAAGTGTCAGCTGTGACATTTCTGTTCAACAAGTGTCAGCTGTAACATCTCTATTCAACAAGTGTCAGCTGTGACATCTCTATTCAACAAGTGTCAGCTGTGACATCTCTGTTCAGCAAGTGTCAGCTGTGACATCTGTATTCAACAAGTGTCATCTCTGTTCAACAATTTGCCATTTTTATAAAAAAATTATATCGAATTGAATTTAAACACAAAATCGACTATTTTTTTTTTTTTAGGATTGAAGATAATTTTAAATAATAATAAGTGCAAAAATGAAACCGTGAAATTTTGAAAACTCGCGTTTTTAAGATCTTTTTGTTTGATGAGTTTAGTGAGCCCTTAACTACTGTATTATAATGAGTTTAGTGAGCCCTTAACTATTGTATTATAATGAGTTTAGTGAGCCCTTAACTACTGTATTATAATGAGTTTAGTGAGCCTTTAACTACTGTATTATAATGAGTTTAGTGAGCCCTTATATACTATATTTTCACGAGTTTATTGGCTTTTTAAAGTCTGTATTAACGCACAAGTTCATGCCAGGGTCATGTTAGTTAGTCTTCACGTCTTCCACTAACTTCTTCCAAGGCTTTTGGCTGATAACTTCAGAATGTCTTACCCGGTCGGCTTCAAATTTTCAACTTTGGTCAGTTATAAGGAGGGAAAGGTTGGTGGAACAATGGACAGTTGCAAGTTGTTGCCTCTACTCAATTTTTATGTAGACCATTGCCAAAATTGGTTTTCCCTGCGGAAAACAATCACAGGGGGAAGTGTTTCAGAAATAGGTGAGGAATTAGCAAGAACGTTCCTTTGAACGAAACTGCTGGGATCTCTTACTCATTTCTGCAACATTGCAAGCTCCTGATGTGCTGATAACATCACGAAAGGCCTAGAGCTGTCATTCAACTCCCCCCGTGGCAGTTTTGCACTCTCCAACACCGGTGTATCCTGCTTAGAAGATCGGTGTTACTGCAATGTGTAGGTGCCATTGTACCGCTTTTAATGGAGGAATGGCCACTATAGCCACCATATCCCACTATATCCACCGTATCCCACTATATCCACCATTTCCCCGTTGTGGTCACCATCTCCCCACCATTGCCAACATCTCCCTGCCATCGCCACCATCTCCCCACCATTGACAACATCTCCCCACCATTGCCAACATCTCCCCACCATTGAGAACATCTCCCCACCATGGCCAACATCTCCCCACCATGGGCAACATCTCCCTGCCATCGCCACCATCTCCCCACCATTGCCAACATCTCCCCACCATCTCCCCGCCATCGCCACCATCTCCCCACCATTGTCA